TGCTACCAGCTAAGCTGTACAGTTTTCTGATCTGATGAGATGTTTGGTTGTGGTTTATTTATTTTTTTTTTTTTGCAAAATCAATGGATTTTAATCCCCTCGTCGTCAGCTCGAAATACCTCCGAAGACGAAGTCGAAAAATATTAAGAAGCAAAACTGCCAATCAATGAAACCTACCTGAAGCGATCATTATCTCGGAGGATCCCCGAATCCCCGAACCATGATCAACTTGTTTTTTTTTTGTTTGTTTTTTTTTCACAAAAATATTGCAAGTACGTACCCGTGGAAAAACAAAAAAAAAAAAAAAAAAAAGTGTGGAGTTAAGCGCGCGAATCGAGGCATTCCATGCATATTGATAATACGTAGGTACGCGGCCGAGGTTGCATATACATACAAAAACGAGATCTATAGATCGTGCAGGAGAAGCGCAGTAGTCGCGGTCGTTATGGTAGTAGGAGGAGGAAGGAGGTATAAGGGTATATACGTATGGGAGAAGCGGCATAAAGAGGTGGAGGAGGAGGAGGAGGAGAGTTATAGTGGTACAACAACGAAGACGACGACGACGACGACGACGACACTAAAGCGTATCTTGGGGAAGAAGAGACGGAGGAGGCAGCGGAGGAGAGAGGCCATCGCCCTGACCGTGACCTAGCCACCGCGCGTAGAAAGAGAGAAAGAGAGGGCTAGCCGTGCATATGTGGGTATATATGCTCTTTCTCCTGTGCCGAGAAAGATTATATATATACACGCTCCCGTGGAGACTCGGTGTATATTTATATGCGTAGAACGACTGTAGGGGGTCCCCTTTTTTTTCCCCTGGTACATATGTATGTGCGCGTAGAGGTATTCGCGAGGATTTTCGATCGATAATTTTAATTACGTCTACTACGGTAGATACGTGAATAACTTTTGGTTCTGCTTTTCACTTTTGTTTTGATAAGTGCTGTAGAAAAATAAAAAAGGGAAAAGTCAGTCGAATTTCCTGTAGTCGATGGAAAAACATCAGATTTCGCGTTACCGATTTTTCACCCGTTCGTACGTTATTTAGGGGGAAACTTTCTACCCGCGTGTTTATGTTCGAAGGACATTAACTCGACCCCCCCCCCCCCGCACTCCATTGCACATTATGATACCGCGGTCGTTAATCCAAAAGAGCCCGAGAGAAAAGTCGTGCGTCGAATCGAAATCGATAAGTTAAAATCGGCGCAAAACTGAAATGGTAATTGATTGAAAATAAATTAAGTATATCATCGGTAAATAAGGAAACACATTGCGTACCATTAATAATATATAAATGGTGATACGATGGAAAACTGGTAGCTGCAGTCGTAAATAACGATCGTTATGGAATGCATTCCGCGAGTTATCATCGATATGATTCGTTACGATCGTTTCATCAACCATTATTACATTTGCTATCGTTGATAATGCCGGTGCGTTTGAACGAAAATTCAATTAACTCGAGAGCAATTTAAACGATATTGTAATAAATATACACTCCGTGAAACTCCCCGTGCAAGTAAAGCACCTATATATACATATAATATATATTATGCTTAACGTACGAAACGTCTACAGAGCCCATCGTGAAATGACCAACAACAGCAGTAGCAGCATCAAAACGACGGGTTCATTCAACTCTCGCAAACAAACGTAACATCAAACGAGAGCCCATCGACAGTGCGCATGTATATACATACCTATTACAGCAGAACAGTTTTATAGACAGAAACTCGCACGCATAATGGGGCAAACGACACACACACACGAAATGTTAATGACCGAGTCGTGCCGGCCTTTCTCTCAAGCCGGTCCACATTATAAATTCCTGGGCGGCGCGCTTGTAATCGGTCGACGCTCGACGCCGGTGTGTGTATACAGATAGGTATACTAGTCCCAGTCGATCCAGTTCTCCTGCCCACCCCCTCGACGCGAACGAATCTTTATACCTACGCGTGCCCTCGCCCGTGTATGTACATACGTGTGCATGGAATACGGTAGCAGCAGCCTCTGTATCAATAACGATCGCGCCGGTATAAATCGTTATCGAGAGAGAGAGAGAGAGAAAGAGCTCCCTCCCTCGCCGCTGATTTTTTTTTTTTTTCGAAGGGGAGTGGTCCAGCACCACCATCGTGTGGTGTTATTATGTCACATTGTATATTATATACGTTTTACCTCTTTCACAATAAGTTACGCGTTGGACGTAGAATCGATTTATCTGTGGGTAATTGTAGTTCTTGCGCGTACAATATTTTACACGGCAAAGGTGTTCCGTTCGGGGGTGTGTGTTCCTTGCGACAGAAAAGGGGAGTAACAAAACTCTCGATCTCATATCACACGAGTACACACACATAATATATTATATGCGCTGCTGTTTGCGTAATTCCGGATTCAAATCGGTACGTATACTTGGGCATTATCGTACCGATACACAAAAGTAACTCAATTTGATGTATATATATTTCGTACCGTATACGTTGTTGAAAATACAAACCTATAAATCAAAAAAAAAAAAAAAAAAAAAAATCGGTAGGCATCCTCCGTATTCCTCGTTTTCGGTCCTCCGGAGAGGACTGGGGAGATAAGCCCCCGCGCAAGCGTATAGGTACATGGAGTTGGTTTCATTGTGCATGATGGCTATCATGCGCGGTGTATATGTGGAGGGCGCGTCTAGTAGGTATATACATATATGTATAATATGGTTGAGGCACTGGAAGGAGAATAAGGAAGGAGGGCAAAAAGCCGATCGCGGAAGCAGCGGCCCACGCGCCGATCGCAACGAGCGCACGTGCGGTGCGTGCAACTCCGGGTCTTTTGTTCGTTATTTATACTCCATAGAGGAGACTCGAGAGTGAGGGTGTGCGTGGTGTAGTACAGGCGGGTGGAGTGGCCGGTATATACCTACACCGCTGCTAATGATAAACGTCCTCTTCGTTAGTCTTGTTTACGCCTCCTCCTCCTCCACCTTCCAAGCACACGCGTACGCAGGCCGGTATAATATTCTATTAGCCGGGCTTCTACATATTATTGTCCGCGCGTATGAGTTGGTACATGTCCGATAGGAGACTTCCTTCGCGGAAAATTCATTTCGTGCCACGAGCGCGCGGGCACAGGATATATACAACGATTATGGGAAATGGCTGCACCGCGCGCACGAGAGTAGGTATATGCACGGGATAATATACATATATACAAATACACTTGAATTACGCAGGTACTCTCTCTCTCTCTCTCTGTGCGAGCAATTGTTGGAGCGCCGTTGGGTTGATTATTTCCTCGTTCGGTTAGCCGTTCGATCGATCGCTTATAGATCGATCGGCATCGTCGTAATGGAAAATTACGCGTGGAATTGATCAAATTTGTACGTGACATCCGTAAATTGTGGTCTCGGGCACGCGAGCCTTTCGTTTTCTCGAGCAATCGTGTGGGATCATTTAAGCTGGAGAAATGTTTTCAATCAAAATTACTTTGTATAGTTATCGTTATGCATTTTCATGGCTCGATCTGCAGCCGATGCTTCTGTAAGTACACCAACAAGTTTGATGGGACAGTATCATATTGCAACATGCACGTATTGGGCTCGTTGAGAGTCTTTAAGTACTCCTAAGTGATATTACCGTGATATAAAGAGGAGCTTGTATTTGATATGGCTCGTTTGGTCGAGAGGCAGGCTCGCTACCGCGTGCCCTCTGTGCTTCGAGTCTTGATCTCTTCTACCTAACGTTGTTGCATACGTGGTGTGAACTAGGTGTAACAAAGGGTTATTATGGCCCAATACTACATTGATACAAACGAAATAAAGATAACTGTCTCCCGCAGTCCACTTTATCCGTATTTTTTTTTTTTAATGGTTTTAGTGAATTATATTAGCAAGATGACAAGCGATCCATTTAAACTGACGGTTAATGAAATAAACGTTAAATAATTTAAAAAAGAAATGGTATTGTTTGTTTATTTATTTATTTATTACACCAAGAAAAGTAAATTGTATCGATGTACGTTTCGAGTAATTTCATTATTGCAGTAAAAACAATTACCGTAGCGCGGAATGACAAAAATTTCTCGAGTCGATCCGTACTTTCCTTGTAAAAATTATAGCAATATTTCTCCGTGCATCTCGATGCATAGGAACGGCCTCAAAGTCCCTTTTTTTAAACCAATCTCCCTACGCTCCACGATCATCATCACCATCCAGATCACTTCCTGAGAATTACTGTATACTGTATCCTCGGCTCACTAATCCACGAATCAATCACGATGCCCATATTGTATAGAAAAAAAAAAAAAAAAAAAAAAACGGTTCGACGGGCGATGCCGATCTCGCGACACGTACACCTTCTTTACTCTCGGGCTCACCACGATGGATGTGTCATGTACATATATACGCACTGTAGGTATATTACAATACGCGGGCGATAGAACGGTGCCGCGTAACATATGAGGAGCTCAATATTCAGATCGCAAGCGTTAATGCGCTTATATGTACACATACCTACGTCTGGGGAAAAGTGGGCCCGGGGTATTACGCGCTCCCCGTTTCTTATCTGCCGCCGGTACATACACGTATACACTCGTGGGGCAGCCGATTTATCGTCGACGATTCTTAGTCTCCCCCCCCTTATTTTTTTTTGTCGCGTGTCCTTTGATTTATCTCGCGCGGCTGCTGTGTGTTTTTGCAGACTACCGCTATATAGTATAGTTTATTTGCTTTTCCATCGACTTTTGTCTGTGTCTGTGACGGCTTATGGGGATTACAAGCGGTTCCTTCTTTTTTCTTATTTGATACGCAGTGGGTTATAAATATTATTTCTGCTGCAGGGTTAGTGTCACGTCGTGAGTATACACTTTGATAAAATCAACACGTTTGCGTACCTATCTTTACTTTTTTTTTTTTTTTTTTTTTTTTTTACAAGTTCACTAAAATACGTTACATTTTACATTTCGTTGCAATAGGAAATGGTTTTCAGTCGAAATCTAATTGTTTTCATTTTCTGTTTCAGGTGAGGATCATCAGACGACGTCGTCACTGGGCCACAATGTCACAAACAGCCAACGTAAGCTCGGTCCTCGTACATATTCATGCAATTGAAACAAAAAATCTCACACGTACTCGCGTCGTTAGATACCTTGTGTAAAACCTGTGGGAGGAAAAAAAACTAGTTTTTTTTTTTAATTTTTCACAATACCGCTCCGTAGATTCTGGATCGCAAGGCATCCTGACACAGTTTTTCCTTTCCTTGCCGCGGGTGGTGATAAAACCACGGGACATCAAACGGCGATGGGAGGACCGTTTTACGCTCGGCCGATCGAAGGGGAGGGAAAAAACGATGAACAAACTCGTAAAACCATGTCCCCGAGAGAGGAGAAACAACAATAATTCGCGTCCCCGTTTGCCGTTATAAAAGGGCGTCCTTGGCGTAATTGATCGATTCTTTGAAAAATCGTTCGCCGAATCCCAGTGAACCGTTAAAGGAGTCTGCGCGGTTATTGTTTTTTATTTTTTTTATTTTAACTGCCTATTGTCGATTTCGAGTGTCTTGTCGTCTTTTTTTTTCATTCATGTTCTGGTGTGGTATTACGTAGCCATAAGATATAACGGTTCATTGGATCACGATTGACAGAGAAAGAGAGGAAAAAAAAGAACCTAAAACTGTCTCGAATACGACTACCTTGTGCGCATACCTATTCGAGATATTTTGACCGGAGATGGAAGGATTGAGATTTTAATGAAACCTGGGAGACACGAATGTGAGTGTATTTATGAATAATCCGGTTTGACAACGAGATTGAATCACATCGAGGATGCGTGATAGATGAGGCTGGAGTTATTATCATGCAGATGTAATTATACGTTCCATCCGTTATATACACCTATACGTGATGTACACGCCTAAAAATACGCCACTCGAAACAAACTGTTGAATCAACTTGAACTCCACACTTGAAGTGTGTGTCAACTGCACCATACACGTCATCTGCTAGCTGTACATCTTTTCAGATAATTTTTTTTCTTCAAAAAAACAAAAACACAAGACATCGTGTATAAGAACCAACGTCTTTCGCTGTAGCAAATTGAATCAATGCGCTCACTAAATGCTGGTACTAAGTAGTATATATCCGTTTGGCGCTCGGGAAAATCGCGTAAATAACGTGTAATTTATTTTTATCGCCCCCAAGTAAGTGTATGTATAAGTATATATTATGCGCTCTCGTCGCATTATTATCGTGCACGCGGTGTTATTGCCCCGGTGTGTATAATCTCGGGCAAAGTTTATGCCCCGGCGCAACAATAACAATAACAAAAACAACAACAACAACGATAATAAAAATATAACCTTTTGGTAAACCATACCTGTAGTATACATGCACTCGCTCGAGAGACGATGATGATGATTTTTCGGCGAGTGGTTCTACCGCGCCTTTTAATTCCGGGGTACTTGCCGCCCTCCCCATCCCCGCCTCTCTCTTTCTTTCCTTCTCCGCTGCGGCGTCATTATACTCGGACCTATAAATTTAATGATATTTCAGCGCGAGCTATACACACACTTATACCCGTTGCAGTTGCACCAGACTTTTGCTTTTGTTTTCGAGAGAGAGAGAAAGGGGGGGGGGTGCGGGTGGGCTCTTACTTCTTGGGTGTACTTATCGGTGAATTACGAGCTAATGAAATTGCAAATCGTACCTCTCCGGCGCACGTATTTCCTCTCTCCCTCTCGCCACCCAATTATTTTTTTTTTTCGTTTTTTCTTTTCCCTCGTCGTTCCTTTGGCCAAATTGTTTGTTTTGTTCGTCGTTGGCGTGATTTTTAGAGATCTCAGAGTGGGGTGGGGGGGAGTTCGGAAATATTTTCCACCATCGATCGATTTTCGCACCGGCCTCTCTTTTCCCTCCACATGCATGTACATTACATCCACACGCCATACACGCACGCACGCGAGATCGTAAAATTGTATTATCATTTTTACGTATTTAATGCTCACGTCATAAACTCGTTACACGCCTCTGGGCACTGCTGTTACGGAAAACGCGCGCCACACACACACATATACAACACGCACCCGGTAAAATAGAATAAACGTTTTATGGACGCGATAATGTACGATATTCGCGTTTGCTCGCGGAGCAATTTCCCCGAGCTGATTTATTAATAACGCGGTGTGTATGCCTCCCCCCCCTCTCTCTGTACATTTAATTGCTGAAAATTTCGACCGCTTCGATCGCCGTGTTACATACTTGGCAAAACGCAGGTGCGATGATTGGCCAGCTAAATGATACATAGTTTCGCCCAACGCGCGTTCACTCGACGAAAATCAAAAGAAAAATTTAACGCATCCGCTTACAAATAAATGTGTGCATAAGTCTGGCTAAATTTAGCTAGGAAAATATTCACACCCGCGCGCATCGCCGCGGTAACAATGAGCTCGAGCTTTGATGCATAAATATCCGCACCTATGCGCATGTGTATACATCGCGGGACTAATTGAGCCTTCATTTGGCATCACACCCCGATGCTCGTCGAATCTTCTCACCACGAGCAGCAGTTCTATAATACACGCCTATACGCGGACAATAGACGAAAGGTCCCGCAGCAAAGGAAACGGCGTCACCTCAGAACTCATCACCACGTGTAACGCAATAATCTCCCAGCAGACTCCCCCTCCCATCTGAAACTCGTGCTCTCCCGAGAGTGTTGCATTTATTCATTAACGCGGTGATGGTAATAATGAAGGCGGCGTGTAACGCTACTCCTCCGCGGGCAGAAGCAGCAACAACAGTTACCACCGGTCTATAATTATGCAACCGACTAAACCCGAGACGACGACTATATAGTCGTATCTCTTTCTCTCTCGCGGTTTTTCCGCGACACCGTCGACGACGGCTGCTTCTCTTACTTTTTTTTTTTTCTCTCCCAGCCGCTTCTGCCCGGAGAGACGGATTTCATTATAAGCACTTGCTGCACGGTGGCGGACTCCCCCCGTGACGCTGTGCCGTTGCAAAAGTCGCCTCGGATCATTTCTCGATGAAGAAAAACCAGAGGAGAATTCTTCCCCGGTACGATTTTTCAGCTCGATCCTTTATCAATCGAGCTGCCAAGGGAATTTCGTCACGCGACTTTGTCCCATGCGGTCCCTCTCGTGCGTGTGTATAATTTTACCCCTTGGCTCTGGTCCTCCCCCCCCCTCCTCCTCACCCTCCGTGCATGCCTCGTTACCTCGTTGTTGTTGGTGATTCCAAGTACATGTAATGTGGCACTGAAAACAGGGGGGAAAAAAATAAAAACATTCACAGGAGGAAAAAGTGCACGTGACGTGTAGAGGAAAACTCTTGCGTGCGTCGGCAGCAAGAAGACTCTCTTTTGTTCGTATAGCTCCCCGTCGTTTTCTTCGCTCGAGCGTCGACAAAGACAACGACGCATTCTCTGTTTTTCCCATGACCGAGCGGATGAATGGAAATTTCGCTTTTGGCTCTCGAAAACACGCGCCGAGCGGCGTTGCAAGCGCCGCCCGTTCGGGGGAAGAGAAGTTTTGCTACTCTCTTGGGTTCGTGTGTATTACGTGTATACCTATATACCATATATTATATGCGGGCAAGAGAATCGGCGCTTTCGGAAAGATGTCTATCTCTCCGTGTCTTGCGTCGTGTAGACACGTGTTGCGTTTTTTCTTTCTTCTTTTACACCATTATTACTAGCGTTGTCGCGGTTCGTGCTCAACAGGTGTTGGATTATTGCACTCGCCTCGTTTTGGGTCTTGATTATCTGCCCATCTGCTGCTCGCTGTACAGTGTGGATCTCCCATACATTATACGTAACTGAGCAAAATCAAGTTTCGAGGAACCATCAGCTGCTCTCCTACTCGACAAACTATTCGCATACAAAAGAAATCGAATTACTCTTGATCGCATCAATCGTTGAAACTTTGGTAAAATTTATTACTTTTTTTTCTTTCTTTCTTTCTTCGAAAAACATTGTGTTCGCGTGTCTGTATCCTCTTTTGATCTCTTGCATAAAAGATTGATTCCATCGAGTAACGAATTAAAGAGCAAGAGGAGAAAACAAAAAGGAGAGGAAGGTGGAGAGGAGACGTGTACGGGGGGGGGGAGGGGTAAAAAAAGATTGAAATTATAATGCTTGTCCGCACGCTTGTATGAGTGCGTGTAATTGAGAAAGAGAAAGAGGAGGTGAAAAAGAAGAAGAGCCGAAGGGAAGGGTCGGACACGAGTGTACGCGTGTGGGAGTACAAGGAGCGAAAGGAGAAGGAAAAAAAAAAAAAATAAATAAAAGAGCGAAGGCGGTGTTAAACACGCTGTACGATCGATGGGACCTTGAATTGCTAATTGCGCGCACGAAAGTTTCTTTTTTCTCTTTCTCTCTCTTGCCTGCGCCTCTATACTTTGACGGAACTGGGTATTTCAAAGTATCACGTGAGGAAGCCCGGTCCGATCGAGTCGGAAATCGTGGATTTGGATGGCGTAATTTTATCCAATTTTTCTTTTATACCAGATAACAGAGACGATAAATCAAAGTAGCGATACACTATAAACTTGTGAATACATAATCAATTTTTAATTTCCGATACACACACGCGCGCGCCTATTTATAGAGAACAAAAGAATGTGTCCTTTCGGTGGAAAAAAAAAAAATTTAATCTCCAATACACGCAGACGTATAAGAGAAAAGAAAGAAAGGAGAGAGAAAAAAAAAAAGTCAGACCCCCTCGATAAATCCAAGATTCGCCGCGGTCGGAGAGACCGGTCCTCTCGTACAACCCCCCCACCATCTCCCCGTTCCTCCTTTCGCGCGCTCTCTCGAGTTATTATATTATCCCGAAATCCTCGGATCGCCATCTCCGGCTGGTTATTACGTGCACACGCGTGCCGCCAAGATCCACATCTCCCTTGTACACGCCGGCAACAACAAAAAATATAAATTACAGGCACCGGTGGATTTTTAGACCACGGGAGCGTATCGCTATGGTGATGTTTGCGCTTTGTCTTTTGAAACAAAGGAGACCGGCAACAGAGTCATCGTTTGCGTACGAAATTTACACACGCGCGAGATATAGAGAAAATTAAGTAGGCATACGTATACACTTGGAGCGATGATTTTCCGTCTTGTTGTCGCGACGGCACTTCTACCAGTGTCGATTGTTATCGTCTTCTGGTGCAGTACGGTAAACAAGAGAGAGAGAGACCGCGGCGACAGAGTGAAGAACTAGCGCTCGTTCGCGCGAGAAGCCTCCTATTCGTGTCAGTGGGACGTGACGGGTATATACACACGTACACGGCTCGGCTCGTGCGTTAACTCTTCTCCGGGTGAGATGGTCGCGCGCCATCGAGCGAATATCCTAATAAGCACGTAGCTGGTGGCTTTCACTCTCTTGTGGTAAAAAATTACCTGCCTAGGCGATCGGGACCAATAATCACCTCCAGGTATGTTTTTTTTTTTTTTTTTTTTTTTTCTACCAGCGAAAGGATCGTCCAATATTTTTCCAAAATTACGGAGGGAAAAAAAAATGTCCATTTCGATTTCATCTCACGAGCGCGTCTGGTATTTTTGTCGCAGAGGAATAAATTCCCGGCTCGTTTGCATATTATACGCGCGGACCCTCGCGCGCAACGACATGATATCTCCCGAAATTAAGCCGGACCCCCTTTGTATACCCTATACATTATTGACGCGCGCGTCCGTAAATAACCGCACGAAAGGAAAAAAAATTCGGCTCATTCACCGCGACTTTTGATCCTTTTGATCTCGCGGAATCGTCCCCAAGTGTACAAACAAGCCCGACCAACCGGGAAGTTTGGGACTCGCGAGAGGAAAACGCGATTGGGATCTCGGCGCTTTTAAGATAATTGAATTTCCAGAGAAACGATATTACTCGCGTACTAGCTTTCGCTCGACAATCACATTGCAAAAACAAATGTTATAATAAATCGTTAGAGCGTGATTGCGCGTGTATTTACTTTACCTGATGATCGAGCAATCATTTAATCGAAGCTCACGAAAATTATCATCCGATGGATGATTCGATGAAAGTATGAAATAAATGCCATTAGCGCGTTTACGAGTGTAAGTAAATGTAAGTATCGAGGGATCGGTAAAAACCCCTCGGTTGCGCAACCATTTCACTATGCGGCGATTTAATATTTAATTTTGACGCGCTTTGGAGTATAGGTTCATTGCTATTTTATGCAATAACCCTTTCTGGCAAAATGTGCCTAAACGATCTCCCACGAGTACATCGGATCTATAGGTTAAAAAAAAGCGCAAAATTTTCGTTACTTGCGCAATCCCTCTCTGTGTGTAATTGCATCGGCCAAATTGACATTTTGCTATGGCTCGCGATTAAACTCAACGCGCACTTAATCGTCTATAAAACCATGTATACTACATGAAGAAAAAAAAAAAAAAAAAAACCACATATTTCCATAGTCGCAGAGAGGTAGAAAAAACATCAGAGTTTCTCCAAAGCGCCCGAAGACACCATCCCATTAAAATCAATCTCGAAATTCTTCACGGCCAGAAATAATAATTCGCAATCGCACGTCGCGTATTGGACGGAAAACACTCCTGGCTAATATCGTGCGGTACACACATAATATACGTATCGGGCGAAGGCCGTCGAAAAAGCCAACACCGCCACAGTGCAGTGTAGGCAGAGATATATAATATGTACCTATCACACCTCCACCGCCGAGCATAAATTCGCGCTTACAATTCGCGCGGCTTACCCACTTCGATATGGGCAACTCTCGAGCGGGGCTATAACGGTGCGAGGGACACACACGTGCGCGTGTGTACGTATCTATACTTTCATGTACACGGCTGCACCTATACACGACGACGAAATACAACGTGTGTACATAAAATACACATATAGGTTTTACGTTATGTTTACAGGAGTAAGTGAGCCGGTCGAGGGCTGGGCGTAGGATGGGCCCGAGCGCAGGAGTTTCCGTGCTCAAGGTGGCGGAAGCAGCAGCAGCAGTGCAGGTCGTCATAGTGGTGTGATCGTCCATTGTGATCGACTGATGCGTCAGCCTGCAGCGGCAAAGCTGTAGGAAGGAAGAGAAAAAGAATTAAAAAAAAAATATATACATATATATATACGTGTTTATCTGGTACATACAAACGGAGCTGCACGACAACGCGAGCGATTGAAACATTGCGCTGAAGCTGAGAGCGAGAGGAGGTGGGGAGGCGGCCGTGGTGGAGACTGAGGAGGATACCATGCCGTCCTCGGCGGAGAGCGCCGCCACCGAGCGGCATAACGACAGGACGGTGAGTTTGGATGTACGTTGATTCACAGTTTTTTTGGTTACCAATTTATTATTACTTGTTATTTAATTTTTAGAGCGAATCTTTTTTTTTTTTTTTTTTTTTTTTTTTTTTTTTTTTTTTTTTTTTTTTTTTTTTTTTT